GCGGGGGCGGTGGGGCGGTGGGCTGCGCGCTCGGCTCTTTAAAGGCGCGCGAGCCGGGCTATGAGAGCCGGCTCCGCGGCCGCACGCGCAGGCCTGGGACAAGAACTGAGAGCCGAGAAGCGGGGCGCGTCTGTCCTAGGCAGCTCCGGACTCAACATGCACCGCTTGCGGGGAGGCATCTGGCTAGCGGTGGCTGCATCGCTCCTTCACGGTAAGGCTGCCGCCGCCGGGTCTCCCCGCCTTTCACTCTGCGAGATCCCGGCCGGCATCGCGGGTGTCATCCGGCGGTATCCCGGGCGCTTCGCAGGCGCTTCGTGCGCCTGAATGGAGCGAGGCTGGGCAAAGCCAACGCGGGATCTGGGTTCAGGGTCCGCCTTCGGGCGAGGGGCGGTGGGGACATGGCGGGGGGCTGCCCTGGCTAGTCCCGGTCTCCAGGGCTGAACCAGTTGGGCTGCGAGGGTCGCGAGCAAGTGGGCGTGGGACGCACCCCCGGCTGGCCTTCTCTGAGCAGCTGCTGGGCTCTCCTCTCTTAAAGTGTCCCTGCAAGGCGAGTTCCAGAGGAAGCTCTACAAAGAGCTAGTCAAGAACTACAATCCCTTGGAGAGGCCGGTGGCCAACGACTCGCAGCCGCTCACTGTCTACTTCTCCCTGAGCCTCCTGCAGATTATGGATGTGGTGAGTCCCGCCCGCCCACAAGACGCCTTCTCCCTGTCGCGGTCGCAGGCACCAGGACTGCAGCCTCCAGCGGGCTCCGAGGGTTCCTGGAAGGCTCGGGATGGCAGGCCATGTAGCTTGGCCCGGAGTCTGCGGACCCCAGCCTGCCTCTGCTGCACGCCTCTCTCTGCCCGAGGGGTAGCAGGCGAAGCTGTGTTGGATCGTCCAGGCCACCTGTGCGTGGGGGACTTCAGTCCCACATTCCTCTCAGCCCAGAAAGTCGGGGCTAAAAGTATCCTAATACAGAGTCAGTAGCCAGAACAGGGTGCCAATGGCCACATCCGTATGAGTGTTTCCGTGCAGTCTAGGCATTCGGTGATGTTTTAGCCTTTTACAGACTTACGCTGCCCGTGGTATGTGGCGTCGTCAGGTAGGGACCTGGCCCTGGGCTCTGTGGCTGTGAATCTGGACAGGCAGAGGGCCAGCTGTGGGATTTTAGACCCCTTCTCCCCATCTCGGATTCTAGTAGTGGGCGTCTTTGCCTTCCTAGTGAGGCAGGTGCTTTCACTACGAAGGAGGCTCATACCAGGAATACACTTGGCTGGCCCTTCAGGCAGCTGCTGCCAGCCCATGGGCTGTTTCTTGCCCCTGGGCCTTATCAGAGTCAACGTCAGAATCTGTGTAATAGCTGTATAAGTTTATTCTTTTGCTCTTCTGGGCTGTTGTGAATATTTAATCGCATTCATATATCCCTCATACAGTACAATTTTTTTTTAATGCTGAATACATTGAAAATGGGTTTTTGGGTCTGCTTTGTACAAGGCCTTGGAATCTGTTCTGGGCGGGATAGAGTGGGGTAGGGGTCTGGCACAGGGATAGTGAGGTTGACCAGGATAAAAGAATGTGGTAGGAAATAGGTGTGAAAACAGCCACAACTCAAGGTAGAAAGTGCTGGGAGCCACCTGAGGGGCTCAGATAAAGTGGTGTAAGAAGCCATGTGATACTTCAAGATCTTTCTGCAGGTAGGGTTACTCATTTTACCACCCTCATGCATGTTACTTCACTCAACCTAGTTACGTTGCTGTGATAAATGACCTTCTTTTCATACTCCACCTGTGTTAAATGTGTACTTCCTCCTACAGACAGAATTATGCTTTGAATGTATGTGTGGTGACTTGTCAGAAGAAATCTTTAAAGGAAGACAGGTGTCAGAGCTTGGATACAAGAAAGGAGCAAAGTTGGGGTTTTTGAGTTAGGGAATGTTGTTGTGCACTGTTGTGTCGATTCCAATTCACAGTGACTCTGTAGAACAGAGTAGAATGGCCCCATAGGTTTCCTAGGCTGAAATCTTTACAGGAGCAGATTGCCAGGTCTTTTCTCCCATGGAGTGGCTGGTGGATTAGAAACGCCAACCTTTCAGTTAGCGGCTGAGCACTTAACCACGGCAGCACCAGGGCTCCTTGAGTTAGGGAATAGAGGTGAAAAAGAAGCTCTAGCAGTTGCACCAGGCTGGACCAGAGGAAAATGCAGGTGTGGGCGGTGGGGGCAAGGAGGGAGGGAATAGGCTCTGGGGCATTTGAGGGCAAATACCTTATAGAGCAGTTTCTTTGTTACTGGAGTCCCTGGGTGTTGCAGATGTTTAGCACACTCAGTTGCTAACTGAAAGCTTGGAGGTTTGAGTCTACCCAAAAGGAGCCTCAGAAGAAAGGTCTGGCGATCTACTTCTGAAAAATCAGCCTTTGAAAACCCTGTGGAGCACAGTTCTACTCTGACACAACAGGGTTGGCATAAGTTGAAGTTGACTGGACAGCAGCTGTTTATTTTTCTATTTACTACAAGGAGTTCAGCGTTTCTACTTGGGAGCCCTGTGGGTTCTGGCTTTGCCAGTTTCTTGATGGTTGATCTTAGGTAAGTTTCTTAAGCGTTCTGAGCCTTGATGTACCTGTTAATAAAATGGGCAGGATAGCACTTCACTTTCCTTGTGGTGAGCTAAATACTGTGAAGGCAAGTTTCACAGACCACGTAGCTCGACACATGACTCTGGTCATGTTCATGCAGAACCACAGGAGACAGGACCAGCAACTGAGCTATGCTGTCACACACGTGAGCACAGTAAAGTAAGGAAGTGAAGCCATCCACCTGCTTACTGAAGGTAGACTCCAGCCAGACTGCCCCACTGTATGTGTCTGTTTCACAGCTGTCTCCTGTGGAAGGGTCCTTGTGCTGGTCGTGGTGTGATGGCACTGTGGCCACTGTGGCATGGAGCAGGCCTTCTGAGGCTGTCGCTTTGGAGAGGAGACCGCTCACCAAGAAGCTGAAAGTTTCTCCCTGGGCAACTCTGCCTCTTTAATGAGACCTTTAAGGAATCAGACAATACACAGAACAATGAGTCTTATGAGAAATTTAGGCATAAACTAGCATTAGACAGCGTAAAATTAAAAAAAAAAAAACCCATGAAGCTAAAAAATTCAAATAAAAACAAAAATACATGCATTGGTGTCACCAACGTTCCAGTTTTAGGAGGAACATATATGAAGACTGAGGTCAGCAGCCACAGGTTGGGGGAGGGGGTGGGAGAAAGCCTTAGTCTCACCAGGGCCAATGGGTATTCCCTTTAACCCGCTAAAGTCCCCCGCCAGGCAGTGGTGCTTGCTTGCTGGGTGGCCTTGAGAAAATTACTTGACCTTTCTAAGCCTTGTTTCCTCATGTGTAAAATGAGAAGAATAATACCTACTTCACAGGGTTTTGAGAGGATTAAATAAGAGAAAGTGATTTCCACACATTGGTGATTCACCGAAGATTTGCTCAATCTTAATTATCTAGGCACTCAAGTCAAAGCTAATAAAGTCAGTGCTTGTAAAGGTATGGTCGCTTGTCCAAGGTCAGTCAGTGATGAGGGGAGGGCTGCAGGAAAACCCACGTATCCTGACTCGCAAGTCCTTTGCCCTCTGTCTGCTGCCTGCTTTAGAGTTTATAACTTTCTTTTACAGAACAGTCAGCTTAATTTACTTTAACTAGCCGAACTATAACTTATTGAATGTGGATGTGCTGAGATGCTGGGGGAAAATGAAGTCTCTATCCAGAAATAACAAAATATGCAAGCATTTGTATTTCAATTGTATTGGGCTCCACCTGCATTTGAAGCACATCCAGGTCTTTCTAGCTGTTTTTCAGCACCCTGGACAGAGACACAGCGACTCATAAATTCACGTGGGCAAAGTCTTGGCTGATTGAAGTTTTTTTTTTTAACAAATTCAGTCCTAGGGGTTACTTGCCCATTCTGACTGGCTGTTCTAGAGACCATAACTTTTTCCAAACCTTGTCATTGTTTCCCTTTTTTTCAGTAGAGATTTCCTGGCTGTAGGGAAATGGCATGTGATCATACATATTTTATTTTCATGAAAGTTCATTTACTCTTTCATCAATTTATTCCACAAATACTTATTGAGTTCTTATGCTGGACTTTGCTAGATTCTGGGAATTCATACGTCAGAGATGATTTCTAGTTTCAGGTAATCCAGAATCTGGCTAGGAAGACTGACTTGTTAATTCAAGATTCCACATGTAGTGAAATTTAGCATAAAATTCTGTACAAAGTGCTGCAGACCACATAGGAGAAAACATTTATTTCCAAGTAGGGCAACTGAGAATGGTTTCAAAGAGCAGAGGGTTACATTTTTTAAAGTGAGTAGGGTTTTTTTCCCAGTTGGAGAAAGTAGGACTTTCGTGGCAATGGGAACAGGGTGAGGAAAGACTGAAAATGTGGGGGACAGCACAGCTTTCAACAAGGTGTGTTCTGTGGAACCCTGGTATCTGATCGATCTTTTCTATGGGTTTTACTGCAAGACTGCTCAGAAAATATAGTGTGCTTGTACTGATTAAAAATTTCTAAGAGAGTTTACAAAACATATTTTTAGAATCCTTTTGAAGAATTATCTTCTAGAAACACCCTTTACAAGATAGGTTATACTATTTTTTTCTTTAGGAGTTGCAAAATGGATCCAAATCAGTAGGGAAAGTAGATTATGAGGAATATCTTGGTTTACATTTTGCCCTGTGCCCTAGTCTGGGTGTCTTTGAGGGTGTGAGGAGGCAGTTTGCCAAGGGCTTTGTGAAGCTGCAAGATCAGCCTGCCATAGCATATTTTTTTTTTTAAATGGAACCACTCCAAACCATAATATTTGTATTAAATCCAACAAGTATAATTTACATGTTAGAATAAAAAATGTGCTTTCGTATTAAAGACAAAACATGAGTCTTCAAAGGAATTGCTTTATCTGCTGTGGTCTGTTCTAGCTATTCAACAGGCCCCTTGGTGAAGCACTAGGTAGAAAGTGGGAAAGTGAGGTGGATTTTTAATTGGGAGGGATGTAGCTAGCTGTGTGTTTAGATGGAGCATGCTGAGAGCAGTGTGTGTGTGGGGTGGGGTAGATTAGAGAGGAGGGAAGGTGTAGGCGAGGGATGAGGTGGTCAAAACTAGAATGGCTGCTGCAGGAATATGGAAAGGGACAGATTCAAGAGATATTTTGGATGTACTGTTTCTGATATATAACTGTAGATACATGGATAAATTTGTTTGGTGAAAGTGCCTAAATTATTCCTAAATACATACTCTGACTTATGGTGATTATTAATTTGCTTCACGGGCTTGTAACTGAACTGGGAATGAGATAATACACGCAAAATTGTTTTGAAGTGATGCAGATGTAAGGTGTAACAGCCAAAGGTTTCCATACTGTTTATCCTTGATTCATGCCATTTAGTCAGTCTCCTCTCCACACACACCTAAAGGCTGTTCTAAGTGTTGATTGGTGTAGAATCAGTTATGAAAGCATGTCCAGAATTCAGGGTTTAAAATGAATTAACATATAGTTATACAGAAATATAAAACAAATGGTTACACATTAATGAATTTTGGTATTATTTTACAGATTTTGGATTGCAGTTTCAAATTTATAGGAGCTTTAGGCACAAGATAGCAGAACTAAGTGGTTGGACATCTGGGGTTTGTTACTGCAGGT